TCTCTGATCAAGAGTTTCAAGCAGCTGCAGCTCCCTGTGGCGTTTAAGAAGTGTGCCTACCTTTGCTCGAAGGAGGTTGAGGCGCACCTGTCCAAGGCCTGGTCCCTCCCCACCTCTTGCCGCACCGACACGGCGAGGAATCTTGGGACCAACGCTACCTTGGGAGGCCTCCGCAGGATCGGAATTCAGAACTCAAGGTTTGCAGGTGCTTCGCGCAGGGCCAGGAGGCTCAAGATACTACAAGGAGCTGGAGCCGACATCGGGATGGTTCACAGGATGGGGCCAGTGGCATCGGCCCTCTGGGGATCCTCGGTCTCTGGGGTGGCCCCCACAAAAATGGCTGGGCTCCGTATCGGTGCTGCTAGTTCCCTAGGCAGGCTCCCTAAAGGTGCTTCGGTTGGGCTCAGGATGTACACGTACGGGCTTGGGGCCAAGGTAGACCCTCTGGTGGTTTACGTGGGGCACGTGCTTTTCATGTGGGCGACTGCTGTTTGGGAAGCTGTCCCTCACGTTCAGGTGTTGGCCAATACCATGAGGGTCTCGATCGCCAAGTTTCAGAATTCAGCTCAGCCCTGGAGGTCAGCGTCTTCCCCCAGCGACGTCGCGCTTTTAACGTTGCGGGGCATAGGCTGGGACTTTGTAGACCAGCACACCATCAAAGATGACTTGAACGTTGTGCATGACTTGTTCAGGCTCTCCCCGATGCAGGTCAGGACTATGATCAGGCAAGGTGCCGTGCGAGCGTCAGATAGACATGCCCTTCTCTTGCAGAATGGCCTTGATGGGCCACCTGTTTACCCTATCTTCTGGGATGGTATTTCCAGGATGTTCAAGGAGAAGTCCGAAACCTGGGGGAAGCACCATCAGAGATGTTTAAGAGGTTTGGTCTCGGGAGTTCACTGGCCCCAAGCCCGACTTCATGCTCACAACCTCCACGATGATGATCTTTGTCAAGTGTGCAAGGGGGCCCCAGGTACTTTGTGGCACCGTCAGTACGAGTGCCCTGCGCATGAAGTCCTGCGGCGAGACCATGCGAGTGCTCACTTGTGTAGGTGTGCGCAGAGAGTGAAGCAGTTCGGGCCGCTCATGGCGGAGAGGTTCGCGAGGTGCATCTTTCCTCACCCTCGCTCGCTCTTCGACGTCGAGGAGCCCACGCAAACGGTTCACTGGCACGAGAGGCCCGAGACGGGGCTATTGACGGGGTTGCTATTCCTGGACGGGTCGGCCAAATACATGGGCCTCGATGGGCTCACTCGGGCTGGTTGGAGTATCGTGTCGGTCGACAGGTTTGGGGAGTTGCTCTCGGCGGCCTACGGTCCAGTTCCTCTGAGTGCGGCCCCGCAGCAAACTAGTAAAGATGGAGAAGACTATGCTGTATATATGCTTACGCAAGTTGGTCTTCCCCCGCTTCAATGCTATATTGATTGCCAGAGCACTCTGGATTCGCTGGCTCGGGGCCCTGGGTTCGCGGAGGGCCCTGGAGCCCCCCGCGGTCATCTTTGGGGCCCCGTGTGGAGCTCGTTCACTCTCAGCGATTTCGAGTGTTTCAAGACGCTCGGCCACGCCACTGCGGCCGATGTCGAGGCTGGCAGGAGCAGTGTTTGGGAAAGACGGGCCAATGGGCTCGCAGATAAGTTCGCCAAACTAGGAGCCGAGTGTCACGGGGTCAGCGACGAAGAGGCCAGCCTGTACAGAGGCCTCAGGTGCCTCGCCCGCGAGGCCTGCAGGTGGGCTGGATCGGCGGAGGTGCTGATGTCCAACGGGCCCCGTGACTCAACGGGCCTAGTGCCCAGGTCGACAGGCAGCGATGGCCAGTGGCAGCACTCACAAGAGGCTGATGCCCTCGGCCAGGCCCTGGGCGACGATCAAAGGGAGGTGGGAGGTTCTTCGGACTTGGGGGAGGAGTGGCGTTCATTCTCTCGGCAAGTGTTTCGGGCCAACGGCCATGCTTTTTTGGCCAGCCCTGTCTTAGAACCTCCTGGAAACCCCAGGGGTAGGATCCAATTTTGTTGTCGATGCGGATCGTTTTTCTCTGGGGCTCCCAATGCTGGAGCTAAAGGCCTGTGCAGGCCCAAATTCACGACGGGTGGAATTAATGACCAGCTGAGAAGGATTCGGCAGGGCAAGTTTCCCTCGTACAAGAAGGACCTGAAGAATTTGACTCTGGGGGCTCACGTGAGCCTGAGCCTCGCCGAGCGGAGGGTCTTGGCTCAGTCGCTGGAAGAGGATGGCCAGGCCCCCCAGGGAGTTTCAGGTCCTGCTACTGTTGGCTCCGCGGAGGGCTTCGCCCCGCGAGAGCAGGTTTTGGATTCGTTCGGCTTTGCAGAGTCGGATTTACCCTGGGTCATGGACCTAGGAGCCGCCTCCCTCCGAGCCTCGGACTGCGGTTTCGAGTCAGACTCGGAGGCCTCCGATTTTGGCTGAACGAGGAGGTGATCTGGCTTTAGGCCCGTCCCCAACAACCTCCTCATCCTCCTGCTCCTCCTCCTCCTCCTCCTCTTCCTCCTCCTCCTCCTCCTCAGACCTCGGGGGGGGAGGTCGGGAGCCATGTGTCCCAAGATGCCCCCCGGACCCCCCGAAATCAATATTGATGGCGTGGCGATCGGGGGGAGCGTGGGTAGGCAGAAAGATGCGAGCCCCAGAGCACCGCTTCTACAGAGATCCACACTGATGTCAGGGGGGCGTGGGGGTGGTTTGGAATCTCCCTCGAATGTGTAAGGGTTCGAATAGATTGTCCAACTTCTGTCCCCCTCCCCAGTCGCGACTCCCAGAATCTCCAGGCCTCCTGGATGGGGTCGGAGTAGAGGGGGTCGGAGGAGCGCGCCGCATCGCCGATGCATCGGCGATGCGGCTGGATACGGAGCCCGATTTGCTTCACGTCGGTGTCGCCGAGGCAGCGTCGACGTCGGCGATGCATGGGCGGTGCATCGCCGATGCATTTGTGATGCATCGCCGATGCGGGGCCATCCTCCGACCCCATCTAGTCGGACACCATCTAGGAGGCCGCTAGACTCCCAGAGAGGGAAGCCGGGAAGCCAAGCCATGGAGGCTGAGGGAGGCTCGTCGTCGTCGTCGTCGTGGTCGTCGTCCTCGTCATTATTCTCCCCTCTTCCTCCTCCTGTCGAGCCGGCACCACGACCTCCACGATCCTGGTCCGATGCGACTTTTCCTCCTCCTCCTCCGACGACTACAAGTATTTCTGGTATTATTATTTTGCTTGATGTCACACCATCTTAGTGCCCGAGGGCCCGCAGACTCAAGTGGCTGCAACCTCACTGCAGGCTCGAGCCGCCACACTTGAGAGGAAGGAGCGAGAGGAGACAGCAAGGCATTGTTATCTACCATGGTTTGTGTCATCCTTCGTCTGGTCTGGTCGTATTATTTTTCCTCTTCCTCGCCCCGAGCTCTTGGCTCCGAAGCATACCATGCGGCCAAGAAGCACTTGGGGCGAGTGATCGGTAATGTAGCGAAGTCGTGCCACCAGATTGCCTTCGTCAGCGTTGTTTGCCTCGTCCGCGCTTTGTTCATCAGTATGTCCATGATCGTCGCTATCTGTCCTCCCTCCGGCCAGTTCCGCCTTTTTTTCTCTCGCCATACATGATTTATTGAGCGTTCGATATTGGAGTATTTTCTTGTGTCCTTGTTTGGGACATGACTACCATCCGCGTGCAATCCCAAGTCCTCCGTACCGTTAAGCATTTGTTTCGAGCCCAGGGCTTATTGAGAGCGGTTTGCTTGCACTGCTAGGAGTTTTGGGGGAACTGGCATTTTGCCCAGCGGCCGGATGGGAGTTGATTGCTGTGAGCTATTGGAGGGCGGCTTGCGTGTGCTGCGCCATCCGCGCTCTGGAAAGCAAGGTGGCATCCTACACTCAGGAGGGAACAAAAAAAACACAGACAGAATTAATCGTCGACTCCCAAGAACATATGGGAAAATATGGGAAGAGGGGGGGGAAGACGAAAATTCCGAAAGTATGGAAAAACCTGGAGAATCCTGGGACTTGTGTGTATCTATTTGCGCGTCCTTGGGCCCCCATTGATACACAGCCCTGCGGAGCAGCGCTGCGCGGGATCGCGAGGCAGCGTGGACGTGCCTGGGCGGAGTCCAGCAGGATCGTGCCGTGCCGACGCGGCGACAACCCCAGGCCCAGGGCGTTCAAGGCTGAACGCCGCCAGGGGCCCAGAATCGGCCAGTGTGGAACGCTCTGGCGATCCAAAAGTCGCCGAATCGTTCACGGAGCATTTTTTGTTTGTTGTGGAGGGCAGAGGGTGAAACCCGAAATGCCGCGTCGATGGACCTTCGAGGCTCTTGAATCTGCAGGCGGTGGATCACGAGGCGGACGGATGTTCGAGGTGCGAGAGCCCATATGGATTTCTCCCTGAGCCCTCCACGCCTAAGAAAATGCTCAGGTCCAGGGTCGTACGATCTACGCGGTGGCAGAAGCCAACGGAGAAGTCTTCACGACACGAGCCTGCCGTGCCGTGGAGCCGGGTATGCATGGCGTGGCCGGCCCGGGCGACAACGCGTGGCCAGACGCGCGGCCACGCGTCCGTCCGGCGCGCTCGGCCCCCGTGTGGACTCTGGCACGCCCAGCCCTCCGCATGCGCATCCCGCGCGCGACCTCCAGGCGGTGCACGCGCGAATCCAGCCATGTGTGTTTCTGGCTTCTGGGCAGTCTCACGTGCGCTCCCCCTGCGGTGGGGGCGCGCATCAAGAAACCATCTGCTTTTCGTCGGGGTCTCCTGGGTTTCTTCGCTCCTCGCGCTGCGCGGCGACTTCCGCAGCCGTTGAAGGAGCTGCTGCGTTCAGGGTGCTCCGGGTGTCCCCTTTGGTGTACCTCGCGCGCGGGTTCTCGAGGTTGGGCTTCTTGCGAGGGTTTCTAGCGGCCGCGCCCACAGTGTATGTGCGCGTGTGCACGTGTGCGATCCGTGTGCCCAGCCACGTGGGCAGCATCCCGCCTCGCGGGCCCATCCAGTCTCCGCTTCTGCCCCCCCAGCCAGGTACAATAGTTCGATGTCCAGCACCTACGGCGCAGACGGGCGCCCCTTCGACATCATGTATGGATCGGGCCCGGTGAGCGGGTATCAATCACAGGACCCGACCCCGTTGGACGGGACGGGGTGCGGAAAGGCGAGTTGCTTGGACATGCAGGGCAGGCATGAGGAGAAGTGGCACGAGTGCGCTTCTCCCCAGGGGCTGAAGTCGGGCGTGTCCCTCTGCAGGAGGAAGATTCCCAAATCGTCCAACAAAACTAGTATGGGGACGGTTTTTGGGTCATGTTTGACTACGTTTGAACATGTTTGACTGTTTTTTTTACTTTTTCCCATATCCGCCTGTAGGCAGACATGCCCGACCTAACCAGGGGCCTCCGCGGGAGGGCCTCCTTGGGCCTCGTCGTTGTGTCCTGAAGGTCTCAAGCGGGCCTCGATCCGCGCGCCCGTGGGAAACCCGGAATTCGGGAGCCCAGCCACCCGACGCACCCGGCTGGAAAATTGGTGGTCCCCAAACGTGGTGGTGAGAACACCCGGTGGTGAGTTTTGGGCGATTTGGGTAATGGTTTTCGAGCGCTGGCTGGCCCAGGAAACGCAAAACCTCGTGGCGACCGCGTGTCCCCAAACCCGGTGGTGACCCAGAATTATTTCTTTGGGGAATCGGGGTCACCACCGGGTGTCTCACCACCTGGTTTGGAGACCACCAAGAAAAGTCCACGAAATCTTTGCGATCCTGGGAGTCGCAGAACCCGACTCCTCACAAAATCGGCACGGCACTTGCGCCACATCCGCCAATCAGGCGATCGCAAACATGGATCAAGGGGGCGTGGATTAGCGACGGGTCCCGTTTCCATGAGAAATCGCGGATTTCCGCCGCCGAACGAGGCGGCACCGGCCGCATTTTGGGGAGGGCACCTCCCCCGATCCATGGATTTGGCGACCGCGCGCCAATTCCATGGATAGCTAATCCATGTTTGCACGCCCCCGATCCAATGTCCAGGAAGATCCTTCCACTGCAAGCGCTGGCTGGGCAAAGTATGACTTACCTAGCACCCTGCAGTTGCGGATAAGAGTGAGGGGGCGGGCGCGGGGTGGATCGCGGTGGGTCGCCGGTGGAACGTGGGGTGGGTCGCGGGTGGGTCGCGGGTGGGTCGCGGGTGGGTCGTGGGTGGGTCGCGGGTGGGTCGCGGGTGGATCACGGGTGGATCGCGTGTAGGTCACGGGTGGGTCGAGGGTGCGACGCGGGTGGGTTGCGGGCGAGTCGCGAGTGGGACGACGACGACAAACAATAGCTTCACCACCACCAACAACAACGACAACAACAACAGCAACAATAATGAGTTAAATAGTGTATGTTATTTTCTGTTTGCGTGCCATACAATACGTAAATCCCAAACCCTCGATACCCGCCTTCTTCGATCGTACCCCATTTGGGAGTATATATTCCCTACCTGCACTTTGTAGCTGACGCAACCCCTACAAGAGGGAAAGGAAAGGAGGAGGGAAGAGACAAGTGGGAGGGAGAAGGATGGAGCACGAGAGACACTTGCAGGAGGAAGGTTAGGAGCAGGAGTACAATCGGCAGAACCAGACGGGCGGGCCAGGCGGGCGGACCTTAACGGGCAGGTCGGGCGGGCGGGCCCAGACGGCCAGGTCGACCGGGCGGGTCGCTGAAGCGTTAGTACATCATGAAGGAAGTTTCCAGCGATAGCGCGATTCCCAAGTAAATCGACAGGAATTCCAAAGCGAAAGCGAGATTCCTGAGTCTTGGGCCTCGACGCCGCAATTAATCGTGAGGAAGTATCACGTGGGAGCGCGACTCCTACATAGATTGTGGCGAAGTTCTGCGCGAGAGCGCGATTCTCAAATAACCTTTGAGGAAGTATCAGACGGGAGCAGTTGTTGCTGGAACCCAGGAGCCAAGAGGCCAGTTTGAGCACCAAGATTTTCGAATCTAGACAACAGGGTGCGAGGCCCGGGAGGAACACGTTCATTGAAAAACACGATGTGTACCGGGCAAGGGGGTCAACAATGATTGTACACTAACAACAGCAGCAACAACAGCAGCAGCAGCAACAAGAACAATCATTGTAAGATTGTTTGCTCTTACCCGCTCGCGTGCCACTAAAATCCTCGATGTCCGCCCTCTTTGTTTGCGATCGTACCCCCTTGGAGGTGCATCTTCCTTACCTGCCACGTGTAATTGGTGCAGACCCTGCACCAGGGAAGGACGGACGGAAGGGGGAAGGAAAAATATGGAGCACGGGATTAGCAGAAGGGTGGCGAGGAGCAGAAAACACGTGGCAGAACCAGACGGGCTAACGGGCAGGTAGACCCTGACGGGCGGGTCGGGAAGGCGGGTGCAGGCGGCCAGGTCGAGAAGGCGGGTTGCTGAAGCGTGAGTCCTGCATGAATCGCTAGGAAGTCTCGAGCGATAGCGCGATTCCCAGGTACATCGCGGGAAAAAGCCCAGCGAGAGCGTGATTCTTGAGTGTCGAGGTCGCGGTGCTTGAATAAATTATTAGAAAATCCCATGCGAAAGCGCGATTCCTGCAGAAATTGCTAGGAAGTCTGGCGCGACATCGCGACTTTCAATTTCTTGAAAGGAAGTACCCGCGGGAGCCTATGTTGTTGTAGCTGGGGGCAACAACGCAATTTGAACACGAAGATCTTCTTGAATAAGAGCCAGGTGCGAGTCCCGAGGGAGGCACTCCAATTGAAAAACACCATGTGCACTGGTGGGGGAATCAACCATAATAATTCCTCAAGGGTTTAAGTTCAATAACAACAACAGCAGCAGCAACAACAGTTGCAGAAATTGCGAGGAAGTGTTGTTCGACAGCTTGATTTTGGAATACATTAGGAGGAAATCTCGAGCGATAGCGCGATTCCCAAATGAACCGCGGGAAAAACCAAAGTGACAACGCGATTCTTGAGCGCCGAGGGCGCGGCGTCAGAAGAAATGTGAGGATGTCCCACGCGAGAGCGCGATTTCTGAATTGTGAAGAAGCACTAAAAAGGGAGCCGTTGTTGTGGTAGTTCCCGGGCCAGGGGCGCAATTCGGTCACCCCGCAAAAAAAGGAGCGAGTTTTGGGAGGAGCATTTCAAATGAAAAAATGAATGCACCGGTGGGAAGGGATCAACCATAATTATTTGCCACGAGCGAGAGCTCACCAACAACAGCAAAAACAACAGCAGCAACAACAATCATTTGAAGACAGTTCGCTCTTCTCAGCTCGCGTGCCACTCAACACGTATATCCCAAGCCCTCATTACCCGCCTTCTTTGTCTTCGATCGTACCCCGTTGGAGGTATATTTCCCTTAGATGTCATGTGCGTTAACGCAGACCCGAAAACAGGAGAAGAAGGGACGGATTGAAGGGGGAGGGAGAAGGATAGAGCACGAGAGAAATTACCTGGATGGGGGCGAGGAGCTGAAAACACGTTGCAGAACCAGACGGGCAGATCGGGCTGGCAAACCCTAGCGGCGGGTCGGGAATGGCGGGCCCAGGGTGCCTGGTCGAGAAGGCGGGTTGCTAAAGCGTGAGTCCTACATGAATCGCGAGGAATTCTCGAGCGATAGCGCGATTCCCAAGTAAATCGCGCCAAAGGCAAAAGCGAGAGCGTGATTCCCGAGTGTCGAGGGCGCGGCGTTTGGATAAATTGCGCGGAAGTCCCACTGGAGAGCGCGATTCCTGCAGACATTGTAAGGAAATTTGGCGCGAGGGCTTGGTTTTGGAATACACTTTGAGGAAATATTGGGCGGGAGCCGTTGTTGTTGTAGCCAGGGGGCCCAACAACGCAGTATTAGCAGGAAGATTTCCCCAGAAAAAAAGCGGCCGGGAGCCCCGAGGGGGGCACTTCAATTGAAAAACACCTTGTGTATTGGGGGGGATCAACCAGAGATATTCTTCAAGAGCGAAAGGTCACCAGCAACAACAACAATCATTTTAAGATTGTTCGCTTTTACCTGCTCGCGTGCCATTTCTGACGAACCAACAACACACACCCATACCCATAGAGGGGTCGGAGAGGGCTATGGGTGCGTGTTGTCGGATGGGGGTCCCCGCTCGAACGGGAGCGTTCCCCAGGTCGAACCCGCACCCATACCCATAGCCAGTCCTCCTCCCAACGACCCCCCTATGGGTATGGGTGTGTGTGTTGCTCGTTCGTCAATTTCAACACGTATATTTCAAATCTTCGGTACCCGCCCTCGTCGACGTCGACCGTACCTCCCTTGGGAGTCTATACTTGTTGATTGTCGGGTGTATTTGGTGCAGTCCCTAAATCAGGCGAAGACACGGATGGAAGGGGGAGGGAGAACGATGGAGCACGAGAGAAGGTAGCAGGAGGGGGGTTAGGAGCAGGAAACACGTGGTAAAACCAGACGGGCATATCCTAGTTGGCGGGTCGGGAAGGGGGGCCCAGGCGGCCAGGTCCAGCAGTCGGGTTGTTGAACCGTGAGTCCTGCATGAATCGCGAGGAAGTCTCAAACGATGGCGTGATTCCCCAGTAAATTGTGAGAAAGGCAAAAGCAAAAGCGTGATTCCTGAGTGTCGAAGTCGCGGCGTCTGAATAAATTGCGAGGGCGTCCCACGCGAGAGCGCGATTCCTCAGAGAAGGTTAGGAAGTCCAGCGCGACAGCGCGATTTGTCAATTTCTTTAAAGGAGGTGCCCGCAGGAGCCGATGTTGTTGTAGCCGGGGGGCAACAACGCAGTTTGAACACGAAGATCTTCGTGGGTTAAAACCAGGTCCGAGCCCCGAGGGAGGCGCTTCAATTGAAAAACACCATGTGCACCAGTGGGTGAATCAACCATAATAATTCCTCAAGAACTCAAGTTGGGCAGCAACACAACAGCGGCCGCAGCAGCAACAACAACAGCAATCATGTTCAGATTGTTCGCTTTTACCTGCTCGCATGCCATTCAACACGTATATCGCAAACCTTCGATACCCACCCTTTCCGTCGTCGATCGTACCCCCCTGTGGGTATATTTGCCTTGCCTGTCGCGTGTATTTGGTGCAGACCCTAGAACGAATGGAAAAGAGGGCGGATGGAAAGGGGAGGGAGAAGCATGGAGCACGAGAGAAATTGGCGGGAGGGGGTTAAGAGCAGAAAACATTTGGTAGAACCAAACAGGAAGTTCGGGCGGGCAGACCCAAACGGGCGGGTCGTGAAGGCGGGCCCAGGCGGTCAGGTCGAGAAGGCGGGCTGATAAAGCGTGAGTACCACATGAATCGCGAGGAGGTCTCGAGCGACAGCACGGTTCCCAAGGGAATCGCAAGAAGAATCAAAGCGACAGCGCGATTCTTTAGCGTCGAGGGCGCGGCGTCTGCATAAATTACGAAGACGTCCCACGCGAGAGCGCGATTCTTCCATAAAGTGAGTGGAAGTCTGGCGCGAGAGCGCGATTGTTCATACATTGTAAGGAAGTTTCAGGACGGAGCCGCTGCTTGTTGTAACTCAAGGCTAGGGGTCCATTTTGGTGACCCCAGGCTGTCCGTGGTAAAAAAATCCAGGTGCGAGCCCCGGGAGGGGCATACTTGAAACAAACTCAATGGTCACCGAAGGGGGGGTCAACAATAGTTATTTCTCAGAAGCGGAAACTCCACAGCAACAGCAACAACAGCAGAAGCAGCAGCACCAACAACAACAATCATGTTAAGATTATTGGCTGTCAGCTGCTCGCGTGCCATTCATCACGTATATCAAAAACATCGGTACCAGCTCTCTGGTCGTACCACTTTAGGGCTATATCTAGATTTCTTGCAAGGTGTATTTCGTGCGTGCAACCCCGAATGCAGACGAAGAGAGGACGGACAGAGGGAAAGAACAAGGGGAAGGAGAAGGATGGAGCATGAGAGAAAGTAGCAGGAGGGGGGTTAGGAACAGGCAGAACCAGGGGGCAGATCGGGCGGGTAGACAGAAACGGGCGGGTCGGGAAAGCGGACCCAGACGGCTAGGTCGAGCAGGCGGGTTGTTGAAGCGTGCGTTTTGCATGAATCTTGAGGAAGTCTCAAGCGATAGCGCGACTCCCAAATAAATCGAAGGGGCATCCGCAGCGAGAGCGAGAGCGTGATTCCTGAGTGTCGTGGGCGCGGCGTCTGGAAGTCCCACGCGAGAGCACGATTCCTGCACAAATTGTGAGGAAGCCCGGCTCGAGACCGCGACTTGGGAATCAATTGGGTATCAGGCGGGAGCCGTTGTTGTTGTTGTAAAACCTGGGCCAGGGGCACAGTTTGGTGACACTTCATTTTCCGTTATAAAACAGGGTGCGAGCATTGGGAGAAGCACCTCAATTGAAAAATACATCGTTTACCGGATGGGGAGGGCACAGTAATCATTCTGTAGAACTGAGGTTTCAACAACAATGGCAACAGCAACAACAACAACCATTTTAATTGCGTTCGTTTTTTATCTGCTCGCGTGCCCGCCCACACGTATATCCCAACCCTCGCTACGCGCTTTCTCCGTTTTCGATCGCACTCCGTTAGGGTTAAGTCGGGCACGTCCTTCTACAGGAGGAATAGTCAAGAATAGTCAAGAAATAGTAAAGGAAGGATTTTTCGACTAGTTTCGGCAATGTTGGAATATTGTTTCACTTTTCTATATTTCGTCCAGAATCCCCCTTTAGGAGGACACGCCCGACCTAACCTTAGGGCTTATCTTTCTCACCTGCATTGTGTATTTCACGCAGCCCCTAAGTCAGGGGGAGAGGACGGATAGAAGGAAGGGACAATGGGCAGGCGGGTTGCTCAAGCGTGCGTCCTGCATGAATCGCGAGGAAGTCTTCGAGCGACAGCACGATTCCCACATACATCGTAAAGAAGTCCACAGCAAGAGCGTGATTCTTGAGTGTCGAGGGCGCGGCGTCTGAATATAATGCGAGGAAGTCCCACGCGAGAGCACGATTCCTGCATAAATTGTGAGGAAGCCTGGCGCGAGACCGCGACTTGGGAATATATTGTGATGATGTATCCGGCGGGAGCCGCTGTTGTTGGGGGTGCTCTTGTTGTTAGAAGCCAGGTGCCAGGGGCACAGTCATTTCCCCTCATAACAACAGTTATTGCAAAAATATACAACGTTTACCAGGCAGGGGGGACCAACAGTAATTATTTCTAAGAAATGAGAACTCAACAACAACAACTACTAGTACCACTACTTCTACTACTACTACTACTACTACTACTACTACTACTACTACTACTACCACTACTACAACTACTACTACTACTACTACTACTACTACTACTACTACTACTACTACTACTACTACTACTACTACTACTACTACTAGTACTACTACCACCACTACGATTACTACTACTACTATTATTACTACTACTACTACTATTACTACTACTACTACTACTACTACTACTACTACTACTACTACTACGACTACTACTACTACCACTACTACTACTACTACCACTACTGCTATACACTACAATTCCATTTATCACAAGGACAGCAGCAACAACAACAACCAACCACCAAACAAGCACGGCAACAACAATAACAAAAATCAGTGGCAGCAACAAAAACAATCATTTTAATATTGTTCGCTCTTCCTAATTACTCCTCCTCCTTCTCCTCCTCCCTCCTCCTCCTCCCTCCTCCTCTTCCTCCTCCACCCAGACCCACTCGCGCTTAGACTCGCCCATGCTACACCAGTTGCGCGTGTTGTGAGTGCCTGCGTTTGGGTCAGCGGCCCGTCTGTCCTGAGCGCGCCAGTACATGCAAGTTTCAAGTTTTCGCAGGTGTCAAATTCGTAGATTCCAGGGAGTCAAGTTCGTAGTTATCAGGTCGTTGGTTTTCAGCCATCGGACCTTCGGACGCTTGCAATGAATCGTGCCGTACATGCTTACATCTCCCGCTCAGATGGGTGACGATCGTCCCAATACTTGGGTTTGGGTGTTGCGCGGCGGTTCTGAATACAGATTGCTTGAGCTGACATATCTTCTTCATACCTGGCCTTGACCAGTTAGCTGGACCCCTCAGATTCCTCCTCTTCTTCCTCATCATCGTCATCCTATTCTTCCTCCTCCTCCCTCCTCCTCCTCCTCCTCCCTCCATCAATCCCTTCAGCATCATCATCATCATCATCATCATCATCATCATCATCATCATCATCATCGTCGTCGTCATCATCATCATGCTCCTCACCCTCCTCGCGCTACCTCCCTGCGGGCACCCATCTTACGCGAAGCTGGAAGGTCTGCCGGCGGCTCGCATTGGCAGGCCGAACCCAGTCGCTCCACAAAACATTAGAAGAAGTGAGGGAGGAGCAGGAGGGGAAGGAGAGCCAAAGCAGCATGGGAAAGAGGGTGCAGTGAGGGGGGCGTATCAGTGGTGGTGTGCCCGCTTCCAGCCTGCGTGCTCACAGAGCGCTCGTCGTAACAATGTGTGAATGGACCGTCCGCTATTCCATGCCGATCGTTTGGAATTCGCAGTGAGAGTCGGAAGCATTATGATGATTACTATTATTATGTAAGTCTGTGTTCTTGATCTTCCTCGTCCCCTAGCACTCGTTTACAGCTCGCATGGGCCTAGTGTATAAGTGATGCCCCCCCTCCGCGTGGACCCCGTTCACGAACGGCCCACTGCATTTCTTGATATTGCGGGATAGTCCTGTCGATCTCCAACTGTTGGCCACGAGGACACAGTGGCCATCGGCGACTTCACCCTGCGCGGGTACACGTTCGCGGAGGTTACCGACACCACCGGAATTGCAGGCAGGCGCAGGGTCGCAGTTTGGATTTCCGAAGCAGTGCTCTCACTTTTGGGCTTTACTATTGTATGGTCAGCCCCTTTCGGTACAGAGCGATTCCCGCTTGGGAGGTGGCCACTGTGGTGCCCGCTTGTGCGAGCCAGTGCTCTCGTCTCAGCGCTCTCGCACTCATGGCAGCAACAATGAGCGCCAGCCACAGTCCAAGCCGGGGACGGTGCTCGCGCCTGAACGCCGCCCACATCGACAGCTCAAGATGGTGATCCTGCCTTCACGCCAGCGCCAGCCACATGCCATGGCTCTGAATTGCGTTCGCGCGTCAGGGCCGCCATTCCCGGCTCGAATTGGCAATCCCGCGTCAGCGCTGGCCACATTCCCAGCTCGGAATGTTGTTCTCGCATCTGTGCGGGCCATCCGCTCAGGGCCAGTCGCATCCACTCTCAGAATGGGTTTCTCGCCCAAGCGCCGGCCAGATTCCCAGCTCATGAGTGTCATCTCGCCCGACTGAACAAACTGATGGTAATGAGTCCTGGTATCCGCTGGCATGAGCCTCATCAAGCCGGAGGTTCTCTGTCTCGCTACGAATACATTTCAACATCCTGCTGTGCATGGTTCTTTTTACATGTGTGCACTTCGCTATCTCGGCCTGTCGACAGCTCAACATGAAACTGGCGTGTGGACCCCAAAGACAAAGAGTGAGACTGGAAATGTGTACGAAGATATGGCCTGCGACTGCACTGTGACGAACGACCAGGACACGGGATCGGGTCCTAGACAATCTGGAGCATGGCCGAACGAAGGAAGTTGGCGGTAACGCAGAGCAGCCCCAGGACCAGGGGCAGTCGGCGACAGGTGGGGCAACGGTCGAACGAGAAAATAAGCGGCAACGCAGGGCAGCACAATGACTAGGGACAGTCGGGGAGAGACTCGGATGCGGCTGGCCAGGGAAACTTGGCGGCAACGCAGAGCAGCACCAGGGCTGGGGACCGTCAGGCAAAAGAAATCGGCGGCAACGCACGGCGGCACCAAGGCCAGGGACGCCTGGCCAGAGACGACACGAGACCCGACGCAAAAAGGGGCCTTTGGGGCCGCGGCCCTGCGGGCCAACAAGACCGAACCCGACCCCCGGGTTCTTGTCTGAACCCGCTCGGCGTCTGAAGCCGTTCCGCCGCCGACCGTGCTCCATGCCGACAGGGGGGCTGGGGAAGCGGGCCCGCGCGGCCGCCGAGCGGGCTCGAGCCCGAGCCCTTCCCGGCGGCCGAGGGGGCCCGGGCACCGGACGGGCTCCGAGCGGAAACTTGGGGGAGGACGGGCGGGGGCGGAGGCGGAGGAGGAGGAGGAATAGGCGGAGGCGGAGGAGGAGGAGGAGGAGGAGGAATAGGCGGAGGCGGAAGCAGAGGCGGAGGCGGGGGCGGAGGCGGAGGAGGAGGAATAGGCGGAGGCGGAGGAGGAGGAGGAGGAGGAATAGGCGGAGGCGGAAGCAGAGGCGGAGGCGGAGGCGGAGGCGGAGGAGGAGGAATAGGCGGAGGCGGAGGAGGAGGAGGAGGAGGAGGAGCTGTAATCCCGTGGGCGGGACCCCGTGGGTCACCACGAAGCCCAGCTCACGGGGCGCAAGCAAGCTGGACAAGGAGAGACTGTCTCCACGCCCGCCGGGGAAGCTTTGGCCCAGCTGGCCGCCCTGCCTGCCCCCCCCCCCATGGGTGGCAACGGAAGTCGTGTCCTCTAGGTTTGCGGCACCCACCCTAACCTAGAAGGTTCAGGATGGAAAAAACACACACACAACACACAAATCATCGTCGCTTCCGAAGGAAACATTGGAAAATATTGGACATGGAGAGGAAGACGATAGTCCGGAGAATATGGAACATGTGGGGAATCCAGGGATGTGTGTACATTTTTTGGTGTGTCTTTAGGCCTCTTCAACGGTGTAAAGTCGCGCATCTGATTCAGAAACCTCCTTGCCGAACAATTGGCCCAGTTTCTTGAGCACGTTCGCCCCATCCAGTGCTAACACCAGAAGTTGGCCCAGGCTGGTTTGAAGCTGGCCCAGATTTCTTGCATGATAGTGCTCTTGATCAAAGCTTCAGCTGTACGCTGGGAGAGCTACTCAACTCTGTTGAGGTCCTAGTGTCTGGGATGGCTCTGAAGAGGAGAAGGAGGAGGAGGAGAAGGAGGAGGAGGAGGCGGAAGAGGAGGAGGAGTAAGGTCGGGCCCCGTCTCTCGCGTCCTCTCCCCGCTCCCTTCATCGTCATGTACATCAGCGTGCGCATTACTCTCGCCTCTCCCCAGACGACGTGCCGAAAGCACCCCGCCCTCTCCGGTGCACTGCTCCTCCCACCGAACTTAGCCATAGTCAGTTCGTTTGCCCTGCCTCCTCCTCCTCCTCCTCCTCCTCCTCCTCCTCCTCCTCCTCCCTCCTCCTCCTCCTCCTCCTCCTCCTCCTCCTCCTCCTCCCTCCTCCTCCTCCTCCTCCTCCTCCTCCTCCTCCTCCTCCTCCTCCTCCTCCTCCTCCTCCTCCTCCTCTCCTCCTCCTCCTCCTCCTCCTCCTCCTCCTCCTCCTCCTCCTCCTCCTCCTCCTCCTCCTCCTCCTCCTCCTCCTCCTCCTCCTCCTCCTCCTCCTCCTCCTCCTCCTCCTCCTCCTCCTCCTCCTCCCGGCACGCTTTCGGTGTGTCAGCGCGGCCCTCGCGCGGCAGCGTGGGCCTCAATGTTCCGGATCGGCGCGCTGCTCCCGTCGTTCGGCACGGCGCTCTCGCCCCTTGCGCGGGGCACCTGCGAGATCCGCAGCCCTCCTCGTCGTGGTAGCCCTACTCCTTTCCCCTCCTCCCCCTTCCCCTGATCCTCCTGCTCGCACGCTCCTCCCACTCCTGCCACTGCCTCCGTTCCTCCACGCCCTGGCCCTTCCTCCTCCTTCTTCTCTCTTCCTCCTGCTCATCCGCCATCTCTGCCTCCTCCAGTGTGCAGGGCTCCCCTCTCCTGCTGGCGCATGACGCTTTGGTGTCCCTCGGGGGTTCCGGGTGCGCTGTGACACCCACCGGCGGATTGAGCGAAAATCAGCGCCACTGGAAGGGATGGGTGGGCGGGGGGTGGGATATCAGACATGGCGCGAGTGCACCTGGCTCCCCCCCCCCCCCCTCCTACCCCTACCCTCTCCCTCACATCTCCTCCGCTCTCCCTGCACCCTTCTGCTCTCCTGTTCCCCGTCCTGCCAGCCCGAGCTGTGAGAGACGGCGCGGGCGAGAGAAGACGCGGCGGCCGGAGCCGAGGCTCTGCCGCGCAGCCCCGCCTCGACGCACGGCCTCTCTGGGCCGATGTGCGCGCCAGTCCAGTCCAGTCCGGTCCAGTCCAGTCCGCTCCTCCCCTTCGGGCAGGCCTGCGAGGAGGACATGGCGCTCAGGAGCGCTCCGGAAGGCTCTCGAGAGGCGCCCCGGGCCTCTCCGCAGCTGCCGCGCCGCCCGAGGTGAGGACGCCCTCCAGACCCGGCGGCTCCCAGAGTGAGAGATTCCCGGTGCGTGTTCCTCCGAGTGCGTCCTCATCTTGCTGTCCCGCCCCTGTCCACCCATCTTCTCCTCCCTTCAGATATCTCTTCCCTCCCTCCGGAGAGGGCGGTTCCACCCTGCGCGCGCGCCAGCGGAGTACCGCGGCTCCCCGTGGGATGGCATCT